CTCCCGCCCCCCCTGCACCAGGTAGATGTGCAGACTTTTACCTATAGGGAATCAGAATGAGTAGCTTCTTTTGTTAACAGCTTTCTTTTGACATTAACAGCCATTTAAACAAAAAAGCAAGACACCCCCACCTTTTTGTACAATGTTGATTTCAATGGCTCTATTGTCTCCTAAGCATATTATCCTTCCCCAACGGAAGGGGACATATTTAGGAGACATTTAAAATGCCTTTTTCTTTTTAGGATTAAAACATTACAGAGCAACTCATAGGTCCATCTTCTGACGAATTCTGGACTTGTCCTGGAGAGACACTCGTCGGTCGGGTGTGCCAGGCACCGAGGTTTCCCTGGGGAGGGGCGCTTGGGGGCAAGGCTGGCCTGACTGGCATTGAACTGCTTCCTCTCTCTCCTCCTTCTTTGTTTGTGCAGATTGTTCTGGGTCAGAAGCACGTGAGCCCACCAGAGCAGTGGAGGGTGCTGAGTGCCTAAAGGGCCCCCCAGTGTGTGTCATGAATGGAGCTCTCCAAGCCCACCCTCCCGGACCCTTGGGAGCAGTGGCCTGCCATTTCTCGCTGGGTCTTCCCAGCTGAGCTAAGAGGGTCTCTGAAGGACGGAGCCTGTGGGGATGGTGGAACGTGCCCTGCACGCCCAGGAAGTGAGGATTCCTCTCCTAGCTCGGGAGCCAAAAGAGCAAGAGCCTGGCTAACCTGTTAGAAGTCACAGTAGGGAAAGAGGAGACCGGATGTCTCGTCCTCCAGCGCGATCTCCAGAGCTGAAGGTTTGTGGTCGCCACAGCTGGCCCTCTGGAGTCTGCATTTGGCCTTTGCTATGGTAAAAAGAACTTCACCGGAAGACAGTAGCGGGCCTACCATTGGGTTCCTGCTGTCTGCCAAATGACCCCATTCCATGAAGCCAACGGGGGTCACAGGCAGGACTCAAAGGAGGTCCCTTGTTTAACGGGGAGGATAAGTCAACACAGTGTGTTTTGTTTTGTTTTACTCATTATTTTCTTTCTTTTCTAAAAATCATTTTATTAGGGGCTCATACGACTCATCAAAATCCATATATACATCAATTGTGTAAAATACATTTATACATTCATTGCCCTCATCATTCTTAAAACATCCACTCTCTACCCAAGCCCCTGGCATCAGCTCCTCATTTTTTTCCCTCCCTCCCCGCTCCCCCCTTCCTCATGAACCCTTGATAATTTACAAATTATTATTTTGTCATATCTTGCACTGTCCGACATCTCCCTTCACCCACTTTTCTGTTGTTTGTCCCCCAGGGAGGAGGCTATATGTAGATCCTTATAATCGGTTCCCCATTTCTACCCCACCCTCCCTCCAGCCTCCCAATATTGTCACTCACACCACTGGTCCTATAGGGCTCATCCGCCCTGGATTCCCTGTGTTTCCAGTTCCTATCTGTACCAGTGTACATCCTCTGGTCTAG